TCCGCACTCCGCTCTAACTCTCCGTTCCCCCAGCTTTTCCGCATTCCCCCTGAACCTTCCGCGCCCCTCCCTGTCCCGCTCTTCCCAATCCCACCGCACCACTCCCATCTCCCTATCCTTCTGCCCTCCTCCGCACCTCGTCGCCCTCGTCCTCATTATCCCGCCTTCCGCAATCCTCTCTGCGCTTCCGCACTCCTCCCCGTTCTTCCTTGCCCTTCCGCACCCTTTCCCAGTCCACGTCGTTCCCCCCCATCCCTCCCCACTCCTCCCAAAGTCATAAAAATAGTCCCCAATCCGTCGCAGTCCGTCGCGCTCCTCCCTTTTCCCTCCCCTTTTCCCCCACTTCCCGTCTCACTCCGCTTTGCCTCTCTTCCCCTCTCCGGTCTCCTCCCAGCCCCTCCTACCCCCCTCCGCTTCCGTGGGCTGTTTCCTCCCCCCGTTCTCGTTTTCTATTGTGCCTCTCCTGTTCACCAGCCTCCATTTCGTTGGCTTCCCAACCCTCAACCTCCCTGTCCCTTCCATCTCTTTCTAACTTCACCCTGCCCTCCCGCAACGCTACAGCTGTCGGCAACAATTAAGCATTACTCACGCGTAACAAATGGTTTGAACTCTCCCCCTTCCCCCCCTAATGCAATGTTGGGTTCGGGCCTTCCGAGTTTGAGTGTCGGACCAGTGATGCGTAAACGTGCCAACTTTGAATTGCAGGGGGAGGAGGAGTGTTGCTTAATGTTTTCCCCCAATCGTAGTTTGCCCTTTTGCTTCGACCACTGAGCTAGCATACAGGTCTCAATTGGGTACCAGTTAAATGTCCAAGCGGCCGTTACGACACCCAGAGTGATAATGTTGATGCTTGATATCCCGCCTTGGACAAGGGCTGACGGCAAGAAGGGACGAGGTAGCGAACCCAACCTGCTCACAATCTTGTTCCTCGGGAGCCACGTTCAGGGGCGATGAGGAAAAGAATTTGATGTACTCAAGAGGCTTACGCCATTCCGCCGACCCCGACAGGTGGATGTGTGCGAATCCCCAGCAGCCCATCCAGAAAAGATGGCCAGGCGAATCATCGGGAGACGGGAAGTAAACAGCATGCAGAGGCAAGAAGGCCAGCAATGCCGAACTCGAGACCTGGAAGTCTTTCGGGGTCCTTGTGTGGGCCCTCGAGCCTTTGAGGCTCCTCGGGGTTTGTGGAGGCCTCTTGGGCGCCGTGAGGCCCCTCTGGGAGCCGTCTTGGACGCCATCGATGGACACCATCCTTGGGGTCCTACGTTGGGCCCCCCCCGCCTGGAGTCCGAAAAATCAGCTCTTACGACGCTCGTGGGCCGCTCTTGAGGGCCTTCGGGGCCGTCTTGGATCTTTTCAACGCCCCTCTTGGGCGATCTTGGATCCATGTTGAGGCCTCAAGCTAAAGGTGCTCGGGCGATTCCGGCCTCGCGGAGGTACCCTTCGGAGCTTCTGTGGCCATTTGAAGCTGCCCTGGAGCCTATTGGCGATGTAGGGGCTCGTCTGGAGCCGTGATGGAGGGCATCTTGGGCATCTTGGAGGCGTCCGAGAATCAGTTTGGAGGCTCCGAGGGCCCCGGAGATGCGTTGAGGATCTCGTAGGCTCCCCCTCGGGTCCCCCCCTCGAGTCGGCGGCATTCTGTGGAGAGAAAATTGAGCAGGGGGACAGCCAATCATCTCACACGCCTTCTCGCCCCTAGCAAGCGGGGGTCGACAGATTCGAAAGGCCGACCTCATCGAAGACTCCTGCGGCGAGTCACCGTCGCCCTCTGCCTTTGGGAGACGCGTTTCCCTGCCTTTGGGAGACGCGATTGTGGACGAGTGTCAATGGAAGGGGAAAGTGTGGCGACGCTACTGGACTGGCAAATTTTCTACATTGACTTCAACTGCTTCCGGAGGAGCCCTCGCGGGCAGCTTTGGGGCTTCTTTGGGACTCGCATAGGCCTCCCTTGGTGGCCTCTCGGACTGTTTTGGTAGGGGGCCACATGCGAAGCCTACCCCTACCCCCCACGATTTCTGAGGGGGAGGGTGGGGGTCACTTCGCTCGGGAGCTCTCGAACGAAGTGAACCCCACCGTCCCCCTCAGAAATCGTGGGGGGTAGGGGTAGGGTTCGCATGTGGCCCCCTACTTGGAGCTCTCTTGGGAGGGGGAGGGAGGGGGGCAAGGACGCAATAGAAGGGGACCCCCTTTGCGGGTCGCGGTCGAGCGGCTCGGGTCGCGGGCAGCTTCGGTTTGGTCAGTGCGTTTCGAGACTCGGTTTTCGGTTCGGATCGCGCCCATCACGCACTGCAAAGGCCTTACTGCTGGTTCCGCCGACCTTGGAAAGAGATCAGCAAATGCGCAATAGGTGGGAGGGAGCGGGAGAGGAGTAGGCTTCTCAGGGGAGTCTAAGAAACAGATGTTTGGCTTTTTGGAGTTTCTTGGGAGCGCCTTGGCGGCCTCAGGGGATCTCTTGAGGGCCTCTTAGGAGTTTGTTTCCTGTCTCCAGCATATCATTGGGGGAACGGCTCGAAATGTCAGTAGTTGTTTCCGTCGGGCGGCTATTTTTGGTTCAGGTTCCCGCCAACGCGCCATCCCAGTCATTTGGGTGTCAGCTTTTCGACTGGATGGCGATGATGGCGATGCTCATAACGAGGATGATGGTGAGGATGATGGTGAGAAGGAGGAGGAGGAGGAGGAGGGATGGAATGATGGATGGGTATGATGTCGATGTTGATGTTGATGTTGTTGGTGATGATGATGATGCTGATGATGATGATTAGTATTATGATGATGGTGATGGAGATGCTGATGATCATGTATATGATGATGATAATACTACTGATGTTGATTATGATGATTATGATGATTATGGCTATGCTGATGATGACGATGATGCTGCTGATGATGATGATGATGATGATGATGGTGATGATGATGATGATGATGATGATGGTGATGATGATGATGATGAATGTGATGATGATGACGATGATGATGGTGATGATGATGATGGTGATGATGATGATGGTGATGGTGATGGTGATGGTGGTGGTGGTGGTGATAATGCTGATGTTGATGCTGCTGCTGATGCTGATGTTGCTGCTGATGGTGAGGACGCTTTAGAATAATAAGGTGAGGTGGTGGTGGTGATGATGATGCTGCTGATGCTGATGCTGATACTTATGATTCTGATGCTGATGCTGATGATGACGACGCTGCTACTGATGCCGATGCTGATGCTGATGCCGATGCTGATGCTGATGCTGAGGAGGAGGAGGAAGAGGAGTTGGTTGTGGTGGTGATGGTGGTGGTGATGATGATGATGATGATAATGAATATGAAAGACGGGGAGGAGGGATAGCCGGGGAGTGGAGGAGGAAGAGGCGGAGCAGGTGGAGGAGGAGGGAGGAGGGCAACGAGGAGCTTCCATGAAACCAATTTGGGCCGCTTGGGAGCGTCTTGGGCTCTGGTGCCGTCGGATGTCCGAACAGGCTGGAATGCGAAAATGGATAAAACAGCAACGGAACATCTCAGATTTATGGGTGTCTTCGAGTGGGGACATGATGGATCGTATTGGGGCCGGCTTAGGCCAAATTGCGGTTTGCTTAAATTGTGTTGAAGTTCTCGTGGCCGTGTGGGGGAACGGTTGGGGCTGTCGTCGGGCTGATTGGGAGCATTGGCAGTCTGGGGGTCCTCTCTGAGTTGCGTCGTCTCCAGGAGACTCTCATGGCCCCTTGGGCCGTTTTGGAGCGCGTCAAGACCGAAAAGACGAGAACGCTAAAAGCTTGCCAACAGCGTGGGGCCATCACTCGTTGTTGTCTGTAGGGGCCCTCGTGGGGCCCTCTTGGGGCCCTCTTGGGCAGTCTTGAGGGCCTCTTGGCCCGTTTCGGTGCCAGCTTGGGCGTCTTGGACCTGAGTTGAAGAAAAAGGGCCGACCGGGCCCGAGGATGACCCCAAAGGCGAAGGGTCGGCGTTACCCAAACATACTGTTATTATGTATGCGTCGCCCCCCCCCCAACGGCGACGCGCGCGCCGCGAAATCTTGTAGTACATGCTACGTGGCGGGCGCTTTCTGGCCATGCCGCTCGGGAAACGATGTACTGCAGGATGGTTGTATGATGGTCGGGTCGGACGCACGCCTCCGAGGAGGACACATCGTATTAATGTATCCTTGTGCGTCCCTAGCGGGGGGAAGACGCATTCTGACTTGGGACCCTCTCTGGGGGCCCCACCCTCGGGCTGTCTACTCGGCAGGGCGGGGGGTGGGGTGAGGGGGGGCTAACCTCCCTTCGCGACCCTCCCCCAGGCCCCCACCCACCCAGCGGGGAAGAGATCAAAGGAAAGGGGCTTTCCATCAAGTTAATTACGACTTGAGGTGGTTCCCCTCGGGCTACAGTACCCGCGTAGCAAGGATGAGCAACTTTCCAAGGTTACCCCTGCACCCTTCCCCTTCGGCCCATCCCTGGCCGCTTTCGCTGGCCGCGCCCCGCCCGCAAAGCGTCGACATGGCCTGCCAAGGCCCCTGCATCCTTATCGTGCGTCCTTCTTATACGGGTTGATTGTACAGCCGGGGCCCTGAAGAAGGAACCCTTTTCGTTGGGGAGGGGTTCCGTGTTCCTTAAGTGTTTCACAACTTGCCTCAGGTTTTCCTTATGTGTTCGATCGGAAATCGAAGTTTAACTTGTGGGAAAAAGGGGCCTCGTTCCTTATTTAGGGTTCCTTAGGTCAACGCTCTGTCTGTAGTAACGCTCCACTCTGTGATCTTGCAGCGCTCCACTCGGGCCAATGACTTGGGGCGGTTCCCCTCCGGAGCTCGGGCTTCGCTTGGCACGCTCCGAAATGCTAGACTTTCCAAGGTTCTCGCTCAGCAGCTCACACGCGCCGACAGGGTCGTTGGATTGCTCGTGCCAGCCACATCGGCGACTGATGGGGGCGAGCGGGAGAGAGGGGAGGAGGAAACATTGGGAGGAGGCTTGGAATGGGGGAGAGCTTTGGAGGGAGCGCCCAAATCCCGACAG